TGGATGCACTGCAGCTTGGCTCCCATCGTCTCCCCCCCCGGGACAGGCGCAGCAGGAGGGGCAGATGGACGGGGGAGGGGTCCCTGGAGGGGCCATTGGGACGCCCCCAGTTCACGCGCAATGCCCCCCCGCGCGCACACTCTCTCACGCACGCGCAGTGCAGGCAGTAGTGCTGCGCGCTCCCGGGCATGTCGGGGTCCGGCTCCTGGTGCAGCAGCCTGGCCGCATTGTCCGGCCGCAGGTCCCCGTGGATCTGGTCCAGGTCCCGGCGCCGCCGCTTCGCTTTCCACTGGCGGGCCAGGGAGCGCGCCTTGTGCGAGCCCGTCTGACGAGAGCTCCGCGGCGCCATGGGGAGACTGGGAGAGAAACCGGAACTGCCTCGTCCTCCCCTACTTCCGCTTCCGGCCGGCGCCGGCTTGTGACCTCATCACAGGGCGACCCCCTCCTGGCAAGGGAGCGAGCCCAGTGCGCATGCGGGAAACGCACAGGGCCAGAGTGGGAGCTGAGCTCAGGGCAGGCAGAGGGAGGGTAGAGACACCATCACTGCCCATCCTGGCTAATAGCTACTGATGGGCCTGTCCTCCATGAACCCTGTTATAGTCTTGGCCTGTACAACATCCTCTGGCAAGGTGTTCCACAGGTTGCCTGTGCATTGTGCAAAGAAATACTTCCTTTTGTTTGTTTTAAACCTGCTGCCTATTAATTTCATTTGGTGGCCCCTACTTCTTGTGTTATGAGAAGGAGTAATTAGCATTTCCTCATTTACTTTCTCTACACCAGTCATGATTTTATAGACCTCATCATATCCCCCCTTAGCCGTCTCTTTTCCAAGCTGAAAAGTCCCAGTCTTATTAATCTCTCCTCATACAGAAGCTGTTCCATACCTCTAATCATTTTTTGCTGCCCTTTTCTGAACCTTGTCCAATTTCAATATATCTTTTTTTGAGATGGGCTGACCACATCTGCACAAAGTATTCAAGGTGTGGGCATACCAGGGATTTACATAGAGGCAACATGATATTTTCTGTCCTATTATCTATCCCTTTCTTAATTATTCCCAGCATTCTGTTCACTTTTTTGACTGCTGCTGCACATTGAGTGGATGTTTTCAGAGAACTATCCACAATGACTCCCAAGATTTCGCTCTTGAGTGGTAACAGCTAATTTAGACCCCATCATTTTATATGTATAGTTGGGATTATGCTTTCTAATGTGCACTACTTTGCATTTATCAACATTAAATTTCATTTGCTATTTTGTTGCCCAGTTGCCCAGTCAACCTCCTCTGATTGGCTGCTTTTTCCTTTTCTGCCAATCAGGGGTGCTTTGGGAAGCAGGCTCTGCTCTCTCCTCCATCCCAGCAGGCCCCATTCTTACAGGAGGCAGGTAGGAGAAAACAGAGTTTGGTGGCTTGCGGCAGTTTTGTGCTTCCCTGTCCTCTACTCCTGTGACAAGGGGACGGCTCTTGTGCCTTCTCCTCTCCCTCCCTGGCCTGTGTGAGGGGGGGTGAACTGCAGGAGGAGCAAAGGTGAGCCAAGGTTGTCCCACCTCCATCCCTTTTGACATCTAATGGCACTGTGTTTAAACATGGCAGCAAAGAAAAGGAAAGTCGACACCAAGAACCATTCGTTTAAAGCAAAGTGGACCGACACTTACTGTTTTATTTTGCCACAACGTCCAAAGGGTCAACCAGTATGTTTAATTTGTACAGAGACTGTGGCTGTTGTAAAATGTGGGAACCTCAAATGGCACTACGAAATGAAGCACATGGATTTTGACCTCCAGTATCCACTGGGCTCCCAGTTAAGATCAGACAAGATCGCTTCATTGAAGGATACATATTTTCTGAGCACAAATATTATTTCAAAGGCTACTTGTGCTTAGGAAAAGGCAACTGAAACATCACAGAGATATGTGTGGATAACAGCAAAACACAGGAAACTTTTTGCAAATGCAGACCTTATTAAGCAGTGCATGGTTACTACAGCTGAAATCCGTTTTGCAGAGAAGAAAGACATTGTTGACGCCTTCAGACAACTGCCGCTTTCGGACACAACAGCTATTAGGCATACTGAGATGATGGCACAAGACATTTTCAAGCAATTGTGTATGAAACTGAAAATTTTCCATGGCAGTGGAAGTGTCCCATGATATAAGGGACACAGCACAGCTAGCATTGTATGTCCGTTTTTTTATGGAGAGAAATTTGAGGAGGAGTTGTTGTCCTTTATACTGCATAACAGTTGCACGGCAGGCAAAGCTTTGTTTAATTGTGTTCAAACTATTTTGTCTAATAAAGGTCTTGACGTAACTCAGATTGTGTCAATTGCAACAGATGGTGCTCTTTCCATGATTGGCACTCACAGAGGGCTTGTGAAACGTCTGCAAGATCTGAACCCCAATTTGATTTCCTATCACTGTGTAATTCACCAAACAGAACGTTGTGCGAAGCTTAGCGATGAGTATGCAAATGTATTGTCAATGGTGATTAAACGTGTCGGCTTCCTTCGGTCCAAGTCATCACTGCAACACAGACAGTTCGAAAGCTTTCTTTCAGAAGTATCTGCCGATTACAATGACCTGTTGGTTCATAAAGACATCTGCTGGCTGAGCAGAAGGCAAGTACTAAGAAGGCTATGGGAAATTCGAGTTCATGTGGAAGAATATGTACATAACATTCCAGGGAAAAAGACAGAAGAGGTACATGCATTTTTGAGAGATGCCGCAAGCATGAGCATTCTGACCTTCCTTGTTGATTTGACAGCTCACTTAAATGATTTCAACTTAAAGCTACCGGGGCAAAATCACAACATAGTGGATCTCCACAGCAGTGTCACCTCATTTCAAAACAAACTGAGTCTCTTCAAAAGTGATTTGGAAACTGGAGAGATGCTGCATTTCCCAACGCTGCTAAGCTGCCGGGACACTGCAGACGTGACTCAGACGGCATCATCTCTGGACAGACTTCTTCAAAACTTCCCACAGAGGGTCCAAGAATTTGAAAGTATTAAAGACATCTTCCTGTTTGTAAGGAACCCATTTGTGGTATAAGAAAATGGCACTTGGTGTGATCAAGCAAAAGCATCCTTTCCAGATGTTGAAAAAGCAAAACTATAGCTGGAGCTTATTGATTTACAAGCGAATGAAGTGCTTAGGGTGCAGCATGCTGAAACTACAGCTGAAACGTTCTGGACAACTCTTGTGCTGGACTCCATGTATCCACACTTGCGGAAGGTGGCATTTAACATTTTGATTATGTTTGGCTCGACCTACGTGTGTGAATCAGCATTCTCAACAATGAACAAGATTAAATCCCGTATCGCTCTGTTCTGACTGATAATCATCTGTGCAATTGCCTTCGTCTTGCATTGACTGAACTCACTCCAAACTTCAAGGCCTTTGTGCAGCAAAGGACCTATCACTTTTCCCACCAATGACCATTAGTATAATTATACATTATTCACGCATATTTTATTTTAAATGTGAACCTCTGTATAAAATTACATTTTCAGTAGTGATACTACAGTTTTAACAGGTATTTCAGAGTAATTATTCATGAGTCTTTTTTAATACATGTGTAAGTGGGTGTGTATTTGTTATTGGAAAGACTTGAATCATAAAAGATAAAGAGTTCATGTGTACTAAGTGTTATTTTCTTTCATACTCTGATACTTATTAAATAAACCACAAAAGTTTCGAAGAGTTTTTCTATCTCTATATATACATATATGCCTACAATAATCTTATTTGACAAAACACATTCAAAACTTAGAACAGGTGTCTGAAAGTGTTTTAATGCTAATATTTGCCTCTATTTGACATTTTCTCTATGTACTTTCTCAAAGTCTCAGATGTAATTTATTACATCTTTCTTGGAGGCTATTTTTAGGTTATACAGTGGTTTGATTTTATTTTTAATTTAATGCACTAAAAATATAAGCAATAGGCCCCTGGGTATATTACATAGAATTGTATGTGTTCGTTGAACAGTGGCACTTGGTGTGAAAAATGTTTCCCTGAAGTCCGCACCTTGACTGTACCGTGACCAAGAAATGTGGACCTTGGCAAAAATAATTGACTACCCCTGGTCTAAACACTAAGCACATTGTTATAACTCTGATACCTGTTTTAACAAAACTAACACACAGGTGAGCCAGACGAATTCCAGCTATGTATTTGTCAGTGTCCAGGTGAGGCATGATTACCTGTTCTGTTCATTCCCTCTGAAGCATTGGCCACCGTCCGCAGACAGGGTACTGGGCTAGATGGACCTTTGGTCTGACCCAGTGTGGACGTTCTTATGTTCTAATGTACTTCACTTTCTGCTTGACACCATGATGTGCCCTGCCCCTTGCTGTGTATAAACAGCTGTAGCCTCCCACCCCAGAGGTGGGCATTCCTGCATGGTGGACGAATGATCTCTATAAATAAACTCTTTAAGGCAGCTTGGCTGAATGAAAAGTGATACAGACATGTGCAGTTAGTAGGAGTATTGCACCCTTATATTGAATGATCTTGAAAGCCCGAAAAGAAAACCCTGGGAGAGCTAAACACGCTCAGTGAGTCTAACTTTGGCTTTCCATTTCGGTGAAATCAAAAGCAAGCTTTTGTGGGACGGAGGCATAAAGGTCCTGTATGACGTGTTTAAAACATTTGGCAGGAAATAACAAACCTAGAAATGTGGTTGTGGATTTTGATTTTCGGAGGTAATAGTGTTTGATTGGGGTGTGTAAATTCCCCTGCAGTGTCTGCAACCTTCTACTTCCCCCGCAAGGGGAGAATCTGATACTGACTAAAGAACCAGTGATCCAGCCTGTTCTGCTCCCTCTGCCCAAGCAAAGTGAGGGTCAAAAGGTAAACAGCACAAATGGTGAAAGGGTTTTAACCTGCGGGTGACCTTTGGAATGGGGAGGTGCATGGCTGCCACTTTGGGTGAGGTCACTGCTGCACTGAGCTGGGGGGGTTCTCAGCATGACTAAACTCCACTGGAGGTGGGTGTCTTAATGGCATGAAGTGTAGTAGCAAACCTGGAGTCGTGCATTTTGGATACACCTGTCAATCCACAACAAAGGAGCGGCCGTCAGTCAGCTAGCCACCTGTGATCACATTACCTCTCTGCTTAGGAATCAATAATACATACAGGCATGTAGCGATGGCAGACAGACCTCTGTCATTAACACAGTGTAGCTCAGGAGGGTGACTGAACAAAAGACACCCCCATACCAGACATCAGGGTCTTGCCACTCCGGGCCACCAGTGGCTGTCTGCCTCCATGTCCCTTCATCTCATGTGTGGCAGGCAAGAAGCCCCTTCCTCGTAGACCGCAGCTAGCTGCCCTACTTCTACTCCAGCTTCGAGTTCTCCTCCCTTGTTGGCAATTTGCATAGACCCAGCTCCAAAAAGCTTTCGGTCCCTGAGCAGAAACTAAATACGTGAATGAGAAGAGATGGGTTTGCAGGGCCAGCAACTCCTAAGGAATAATTTAGCTGCCGGACGCTATTTTCAGCTGGTTGCTGAGATACTATGTTCCAGGCGCCCCTTCTCAGAGGGGATCAGTTACAGGCCGCAAACAATGAAGGGTAACGCAAGAGCTCAGCCAAGCTGGGATGACACTGTCTGCGGGCCCCGGAAGGGGGTGCGGGCTGTGGGCTGTGCAAGCACCTTACCCTGGGAGCTGGAAGCCTCTACAGGGGCAGAGGAACAGATAGTAGGGAAGAGAGAGACCTTTGTTGCAAAGGGACATAGATGCTGACTGGCCAGGCATAGACTCGGGGAGTGGGATGGAGAAGGTAGCTGTGGCCCAGGAGAGAGCCCCCTTTGGGAACAAGACAGAGGGGATGGATGAGGGGTTAGAGAGAACCTTTTCTTGGAGGCAAGATAAGGGGGGAGCTGAAGGACAGGGGACAGCCCCTCCAGGATCAGGCAGATAGAACTCCTCACAGGCCCACCGGCCCTATGTCTAGGAGCCCATTGGCATTCTGGGTCAGACCCAGATCAAGTTCCTCTTTGTGGTCTGAACTGCATATCGAAGGAGGCCCCTGCAATTTTAATGAAGACACCAGATCCCAGCAAGCACCCGCCGGTGCCAGGCGCGAGTCCAGCATCCCGCCAAGTCCCCGATTCCCCGCAGAGCCCTCGGAGCGCCGGGGATAACTGTGCAATGGCACCGCACCCCTGCCCTACTCACGCGGGGCACAGGAGCTGAGCCAAAGGCTTCCAGGCACGACACAGACAGAACCGCCTAAGCCACAAGGAGCCTGCTTGTCTGGGCCTCTCCTGCTACCGGCTGTAGGAGCGCGGCTGCCACTGGGCCTCCGGGCCAACCTCCCGGCTGCCACCATGACTCAGGGATTCTGGAAAGTCTACAAGTCCAAAGTGCTGCAGACTCTGGGCAGCGAGGGGCAGGAGGAGGAGTTCAAGGATGAGGTAGGGACGGCCCTGGCAGGGGCCTCTGGTCTCTATCGCTAGCCATAGGGGCAGGCAACAGGGGTTCCCGGCTCCGCCCGCTCTGGTAA